GCTCTGATCAAGTCCTAGGACTTCAAAAAGTAGCTATCCAGGCACTGAGGAAGGTGTGGGTAATGAATAGTGAGCCCATTTTGCATGTATTATTTAAAGTTTTACATATGATTTAGATCATAAAAAAGGGTCTATTGTTTTAAAATAAGATTAAAAATATTAATTTAGGAAAGAATTTCAAGGTAAATTGTATTTGGTTATGCTAACATAATTTAAGAAATCTTTCAAAACAGAGTATTACACCCAGCCAATTACATATCTCAACTGAAATATTAATTTACCTTTATTAGCAACAGGTGGTATAATTCTAAGCTTTTATGCATATTAGTTAGTCTAGAAGGACTTTAAATGGAATAATAAAATTCACTCAATGATATGACCAAATAACATTGTCAAATTATAGGCTAATAATTAAAAGTGAAAGGATAATCCTTTCACATATGGAATTGATCATTGTTTTAGCATATCTCCTTTTTATCTTATATACTGTGCTAAACAAAAAATAAATGATCACTTCTGAAATTGAGACACAATTATAATTTTTTGCTAATTGTAATTATAATTGTATTTATTCTAACTACATTAAATATGATTAACTATATTTTAGCACCTGGTTCAGAAAAGAAAGAAAAAAACACTTTAATAACTGCCTCAAAACTGGAAAATCATAAAAAAAACATTATTATTTAGGAAAATGGGTACCAGTGTGTATTAACTGTCTTTTCATCTTCTGTTAATTGAGTCAAATATTTTTAAATTCTATCAGATTTAGGGAGTATACAAGAATTCCAATGATGTACAACTTAAACTTTTATGGAGCAGAAATGACTTTTGCTGTAGGCCATGTAGCGGTTAAGAATTTGTCTTCACAACCACAAGAGGGCACCAGTGCCTGCAGCATGGTTAGCACCATAAAATCTAACCTTTATGTGGATACTTGAATTTGTATAATGCCAAGCTAAAAATATCTTTAAAAAGAAAATTGATAATTTCTAAAGGAATATATTTACAGTCTGCAACACCTAAGTAATTTTGGACTATGAAATTAAGAACAGAGTTAACTGGTCTATTTTTAGTGAAGATTAATTTAACAGGATATTATCAATATTTCTGAATCAGAAATTGAAGAGATTCACTTTTAACAATGAATAAAAGGAGAATTACTAAAGCCACTAACACTAACAATTCATTTAGCACCATATATTTAGCACCAGAATAGATACTTCACACTTCACTAGAAACTTAAAATTGTTAACTTTAAAATTAGAGTAAGGATTTAGAGTAAATGTCATGTGTTTTCAGCACCATTAACCAGTGAGTTATTAAACCTTCTAAGTTTTTGGTTAAGCTCTCATAAGTCAAAAGTTAGACTGTTATATAATTTTTAAAAATTATTTGGCGTGTGTTTAAATGATTATGTGTCTTCACACACAAATATAATGACAATACAAAAAAAGTATAAAAGGAAAAATAATGTTAGACATCAAAACAAATGTAATTTTATTCTCTCTAAACACTCTGGTGGATAAAGGTTTTCATCTTTGTCAAAATTTGCATTGCGTGGCACTGCAGAACCCAGGTATATGTTTATACACAGGAGGACACACACCAAAGCCTAAGCATTATTTTTCCTTTATTTACACATTCAAAGGATTTATTTAACTTTTCCCTGTATTTAATAAGTAGGGCATGAACAGGAAACACTTAAATTGGTTTAAGTATGTATTGGATTTACTAATGTATGTGTTATAAGTTGATTTAATGCAAGCACATATAAATAAGAAAAATATATATTATTTCAATCCAAATATTCTGAGTAAATTTTATAGGTTGAACCTTCCCTGGTATTTGGTCAACTTTGTGCTAAAGCTACATGGAACTTTCAAACAAACCTTACAGCACTGCCAAATGAAATTTGTAGGGCTCCTCTGTAGAGTTTTGGGAGTCACAGAAGTTATGATGCTTAGTCTACAGAACAGATGAAAAAACAATAATAATAATAATGGTTCCTTCCACATTTTTAAGGAAAACTTATCTGTCCAAACCAGAAACATTAAGACTGTGCCTACACAACTCACAGACAATTCTATTAAAAAATACAGCAATTTAATTCTAAACTTGTAATTTTTGAGTCTTTTGATAACATGGAAGCCAAAAAAAAGTATACTATGACTTATTTAAAAATTTTTTCTACTAAAATAAGGAGTGGTATTTTTTAAATCTACACCATAGAGAGGATCAATGCTATAGAATATGTATTCCAATTATTATACTTTTGAATAACACCTTTCCAAATGAAAACCTCAGTACTGACTATTTAAAGCTGCTCTTATGAAATAGCTTATATCCAGAGGTTTTCTGCCTCTGGGAATTACAGTGAAAAATAGCTATCCTAGCACCATTGTTGCATGTTGTGAAAAATATGACACACTATGTTGATACTAGCAAACTTTCATTTGCTTTAGCCTTGAAAATAAAATATTTCACATGGCCACTTTGTATTACTAACTTTAAAAAGTTGAGACAGAATAACAAATAATACCCGTTATATTTTCAGCTGAGTTGTTAAATTATAAATAAACTATAGTTCTAGTTGTGGTTTGGAAAAGACTATTATGTAAGTGTGTAGACCCTAGTCTTAAACTGATATGTTTGAAGATCTATCTGGATTCTTTATATAATCAAAACTTTATATTTAAGACATTTTTGCCTCAGGAAAGCATGGAAAGGTAAGATTTCTCTAAATTGTTGCAAATTTAGACTTTTTGGTTAATTCTGAAAATTTATTCATATATTTATTAAATATTTATTATGTTACAGCCAGTATATAAGAAGCTGGGATTAACACTAAGAATTAGACAGAGTTTCTGCCAAAAAGAGGCTCATGAAAATCTTAATTGTATCTTAACTACAAGTTCTATGTTATTAATGATAGTTTTAATACTCATAATGTGTTATTAAATTTACCTTCATAAGAACCTCTGTGAAATATGCAGCATATTCTTCTTCTTTAGAACTGAAAAACCAAGCCACATAAGCAAGCTAGCAACAGAAATGGAACTGTGAAAATTCATCTTCTGTTTAAGAATACTTTCTGTTGTTTCTGTAGGACAAATATGGTAAAACTGAGGATGGGGAGATGGTCTAGATAAATCACACAAACACTAATAAACTTTCCCTCCAATTGCCTAGAGCTGTTGGGAAAAAGTGGAATTGAGACCCAAATAATATAATTACTTCTATTCTTAATTTATTCTCCAAAAGTATTTATTTTTAATAGGGTCTAAATATGCCCACAAAGGTAGAAGTAGTATAATATCAAAACACCTGGTCACCATATTCAATTTACAAGAATAATCAGGCCAGTTGTTTGTCATTAAGCAGACCCGATATCCAGCATCCACCCTAAGAAAATGCAAATATGTATGGAATTTGAAACAAGTAGCTTTCTTTGATTATTTGCACTCTGGAACTAATCATGTTTATTTTTACTGTAATTCTATAGAAGCATTACATAACCTGAACAAAACACAACCACATAATGTTAAATTTAATGTGTTAAATGTGTGTGATGTGTCTTGATCAAGACATTGCATTCTCCTCTCTGAAAGAGATTTCATTAATGAGGAAATGGTGCATTTCCAAATCACGTGAGTAAAATTTTCATGGTGACTTTGATTTGATTTCCATAATCAAACTCAATAAAGAACTGAAAATATTTCTTTCTACAGAAACATAGAAATAAAGATTGGTAATTAGTCCTTAGAAAAACATCTGAGGAGGACCACTTTAACAAAATCATGACGGTATGTGCTGGGCTCGAAAGATCTTTATTGTGGTACTCAAAGACCCAAGAGGATAGGAAGAGTGATTCAATGACAGGCAAAACAACAAAGAGATGGAGTTGACCTCAGCATCTCCACATCTTTTCCCGGAATCCTTCATCTCCTACTGACAGGCCTTAAGATGTACGAGAGTCTCCGAATTTGGCCATCTGAAGCTCTCCACCTGGTATTTTCTGTGCAGTTACCCAATTTCTGTAACTTTTCATACCTGATCTCTAAATTTTACTTCTCTTGAACTTCATCAGGTTTCTGAGGGTCTTGCTTTCTGAATTCCAAAGTCATGCCTATACAATTTGCTCCAGAAAGCTCCAGGTATTTGTTAATTCTTCCCTTCCCCTTCTTGTTCCAAGTACTGTAGCTAAATTTCCATGAGAAGCAGAGCCTTGCTTAAGTAATTAAACAGTGTGACTTATCTATTCCACCTCTCGTGCTTGCTTCCTCAAAACTATATGAAAATCAGCTTGCTAAAAAAATAATTTTATAGCAAAATCACTAGACTGTATTATTTCCAGAATATTTCATGAGCTTCTTGAGAGCAGAAACCATATCTAATTATCTCTGCTTTATCAGAACATAACTAGCAGAGTGCCTTGCATCTAGTTAGCACTCAACACATGGACTACCAGTACAACAAAGTGAGATTAAGCAGAAGGCATGATTTGAAAAATTACATAAGTTGAGCATATCCTTTGGTGCACTCAAATGAGATAAAATAGCTCCAGAATGAAATACATCATTGCTTAATAAAATTATTATGTCCAGATATCATTGAGGAATATTATCTTGTAAACTATCATTTCATGAGTATTAGAGCAATGAATGCTAAAGATGTCTCGCCACCACACATATACTTTAGAATCGTTTTTAAAAATTTCCCTCAAGTTAACTACTGAATCATGTTATTATCTATGTGTTACACCACATATTATATGCTTTTGTGCATCTATATATACACACAGACACATATCTGTATATGTATATATATACCCACATACATTACAGGTCAAATATGTGTTTTATTCCTTAAAAACACAATAATATAATCCTTTTGAAATGCAAGTTTTGGGATTGGATGCATCAACTATGTCATCACTACACATACAATATTTTAAGTTAGGCTTAGAGGTCAGAAAATAGAAATGGATGTTCTGAAGATCGCAAAAGATTAAGCAAACATACTAGACAAATACTAGTTTATACAAATGAATACTAAAAGGAAAACAAGATTATTATAAAATATGTATAATATGTGCAAACTTCAATATATATATATGCCTATGATTCTCAGAAATTATTATATTTCCTTGAAAAAAAGGTAAGCTTATTTAAACCAGTATAGGTAGTTTGACGTTACTCCTGGAAAACACAGATTGTCAGTACAAGACCCCCCATAACTTGGAGGACAAGATGAACACGGAACCCCTACTTTATATGGTGCTTCTCCAATCCAGTTGCCCCTAGAAGGGAAAAATAGAAGATAACATTAGTACTACCTACCCATTTAAAAAAATTAGATTATTGATAAGCACATGCCCCTGTGTATTGACATGTGATGATGTTTCTGAAAAGTTTATTTCAGAAAGGTATTAGACGTTATACCCATTTCAACAGTAATTTATTCTACATAATTTTCTTTTAAAATACTTTCGAGGTAAACTGATATTATCTTAATTTACAGATAAGAAGAAGACCCTGCAGTGCATGAGGATACGATGAGTCATGGGACACCAGGATCACTCCACTCACATCTCTCTATAGCAGCCTTCCAGAGCATATGGTGTCAGTCCACATTCCCTTAAGCTTACTTCTTTTAAACTCATGCTAATGCTTGCCTGAGGATGATAAACAAACAAACAAACCTAGCATTTTCTGGGAGGCTTAAAAATGATTAAATAAGTAAGAAGTCATCATATACACAAAAAATAGGTTATAAATGTTCACAAGATTTGTTTCTAAAGTTGTAAAGTATTTTAGATTTCCAAACTTCATAAAATAAAAAACTATGGAAAACTTATAAGTAGTATACATTGGTTTTACTACATATGAGTTTTCCATAGGTTTTTATTTTATAAAGATTGGGGATATATATGGTATAAACCAATACACCATGTTTTCATCGTAAGAGAATAATCGCTCATGGAAACAATTAAAGGTGATTCTAAGACCTTTTTTCATATGTAAATTTGTAGTTACTAAAGTTTTACAATTAATGCTGTTTGTTTTTTGATAATGATAATGCTTACATTTAACTGAATAACTTTCTTTTTTCTTTTTTCTTTTTTTTTTTTGCTGTATTAATGGCCATGATCATAGTAATAAACCAAATTTTCCATTTATGATAGTTAGAAACAGCAATGGTGTCTTACTGTTACTGAACTCTTTTAATTTAAAGAAGAAGATAATAGATGTATTTTAGTAGCTTGATGTTTAGTAACTATAGTATTAAGACACAGCAATATAGAGAGCAATGTGGTAAAAATCGAAGGTCAGAAGAAAATTTGATTGTCAATGGTAAAAAGTCAAGGTAAGAGACAAGAACAACAACAAAAAGAAGATAAGACAATAGGTAGTAGAACAAGTGGCTCCTGCCTCCTTTAAGACATAAATAAGATCAAGCAGTGACTTGTAACTTGTAGACTTGTGTGTCTACAGGATATAAAACATATTGCTAAACCAGTTTGTTAAAAATTCAGATTTATATCTATAATATATCTGTATAGGAAAATTTATCTATAAAATTTTAAAAACATACTAATTAACTATACTACAAAATGAGATGGGGTTTTAAGATTGCTCACCTCTATTTCATTTATTCTATACTCTGCCCTTAGGATAAGTTTTCTTATGTATGATTTTGGTGATGTTACATGCTTGCTCAGAAACGTTCAAGGGGCCCCATTATCTTAAGGGTGTTGCTCATTCCTTTAACCTAACTCTGTATATGCATAATCTTATCCTACATGCATAATCTAGCCCATACTATTTTAATTTCATATTTTTTCTATTTGTTTTACACACCTTTTTGAAATTACGGAACACTTATTTTAAGCAACACAAACTTAGAAATAAAATCTTATTATATGTAAAATTATTATATAATACATTATCAATTTTTACATAAATCATATATTTTATTGAAGAGGATAATTATAACAATAGTAAAATAAGTTAATTTATATACTTATTTATTCTTTTTTTTTTTCCTATTCTAATTAAATTTTCTCTCTCTCTCTCTTTCTCTCTCTCTCTCTCTCTCCCCCCTTCTCTCCGCCTTCCTCTCTTCCTCTTTTTCACTGAAAAAGAGATGAGAAAACTTCATATTAGCATTGGAACAATTATATTCAGATACCAGTCAGGATTGTAAAACTTTCTCCATTACTTAGCTTCCAGAAAAATAAGTCTGTATTATAACTGAAATACAGCATGTTAATATAATAGCTTAATCTCTTGGATCTATAAAACAATAATACAGCTCATCAATAATTTTAGAAAATTCTAACTTTTGGTCAAAAAACAAAACAGTTAAATGAATGAAACAAAATCTCTTTGACCATCTGGATATTACTAGGCCTATTTATGTCAGGGAGAAAGTGCAAGGACTTAATAGAAAAATGCAACATATGAAAATAAAAATAAAAATATCAAAACAATGCAGAGCTTTAGTGCTTTAAAAAAATAATGCTGACTCTCTAAACCTTCCCATTCTAATAATTGTGAAGAGGGGCCATAGGTAAAATCACTATTTTTCTGTCTTCATAAAAACACTGCCACTGGCATACTACCATATTAAATGAGTAATGCAGTGATCTGTGAAACATTTTCTCATTCCCTCCCTATGCTGGACTAGCTGAAGAAAATCTTTGTTTGGGACTTACTTTGGAAGACACTAAGAGTGTCATAAATCCTTTGCACATTTTGTTATTTATTCCAAATGGGAACAGAATTATGTATAAATATTGGAACACTTTATTATCTGAAGAATTATTGTTATCAAGAAGGCATTTTGTCAAATGGTGATAAATGTTTATTTATCCTCATATTATAAAAAATGCCCATAAATATGACCATTTTAATAATTGTCAATACATTTCCATAATATACTTTATATATGCCCTAGGATGAAATCACTGATTTTTTTTAAATCTAAAAAATAAGAGAAGAAAGAAGGAATTTATTTCCAATGTTTTGCTTTTCTAGTGAAAAAGGTAAGCCAATGTTCTAATACTGATAGATGAGAGAACACTGTGATGTTGAGAAATTCCTGGAAGATTCTTTTGTGATGCCTTTTATATAGCTATTAAAATTCTGTGAAGTGTAGCATTTATTTTACAATTGTCACGACTGAAAAAAAAGTGGTAAGGAGAATTTAGTGTACTCTAGAGTCTCAAGTTGTTTTTGCCTACAATTATAGCCTAGAATCCCTGATCTTGTGGAAAGAAACCTTTCAGCAAATTATTTTTCAGGAATATCAGAATTGCAGATTTGAGGTTTAGAGGCCATTATGGCTAAGTCTTACTCATATTATTTACCTGTCAAAAATGCCTATCAACCCAGAGATATTTAATATTATTTAAGCATCCAGGAAATGGAATTCAACTTGGTACTTACTTTGGAGCATAGTTGCATACCAAGTATACTGCTCGTCTCCATACGGATCCCCAAACATTCATGTTTTGGCAGGTATGAATTGCACATCCTATCCGATTGGAAGTGGCCCAAACCATCTGTGAAAATAAACCAAAACACTATTATTGAAGTCAGAGCTAAGACAATCCATGTTCACCAAAATATTAACAGCATTTTATTTTTAGAAAGTATGAAACAAAAATTAACAAGGCAATTGAAATAACCTGTGTATAATGTGTGCACATGGGACCAAAACATCTCATAGGACATCTGGGGTTGCAATCCTGAGGATATGGAAAAGCATAGTCTTTCACTTCATCATACCATGGCTTGACTAACTGAAGAATAGAACGATATCTAGATAGCAAGAAAAAAAAAAACAACGGGGTTTAGAGTAGTGGTCATATATAGGGAAGTCATTTTATACTGTAAATTAATTGTTCCTTTAGGAGATTATTCATGATGCTCTAAGAGCATATCCATCCCTCGCAATCATATCACAACCCAGTGGATTCCTCTATTCCTCCAAGTAGGACCAAGCATGAAAATGCCCATGGCGGGATCAAATGATTCTGTATTTGTCTAATTATGTATCTAGACATTTTTTTTAAAAAAAGAAAATGCACATATTTCAGAAATCATCACTGTCTTATTTAATCCATGTCAAAAATTTCTTCCACCAGTAATGTCAAAATAATCCAGAATTACACATACAAAAGTAGTCACAACACAAGAACTCAGTGCATTTTTTTTCCTAATGACTCTAATTTTATTAGTACATCTGATCTTCCACCCTATTCAAGAGAGAATGTGTCTTGCAATACTGGATAATGACACTGCACAAGTGGTAGAAAAATGATCTTATCAATGGAAACAACTTTTCCCATAGTTCCATATACCTGCATGTCTGTGTGTATATACACATATACGTAAATGCATACATTCTGAATTTTATTTATTTACTTATATGCAGGTATATACAACTATGGGAAAGTTATATGCACGCACACACACACACACACACACACACACACACACACACACAAACACGAATGACTTGTACCACAAATATGGGAGTTTTTTCCTGAGGTGGAAGAAACAGGATACAGCACAGGCTTGATCCTTTCTAATATTCTGTGAGACCAGTGAAAAATACAGGCTAAGGGAGAGTATTCCAAGGTGAAAAGAGGAATTGGTCTTAGTAGGCCCTTATAATTAATTAAATACTTATTAAAGGCATCTAAAATATCCAGAGGCCAAACATCAGTACCGGACACACAGTGAGCAATCAATAAATATATGCTGATACTACTTGGAATTGGTGCCATTTCTCTCTGGAGTCAACAATTAATAAAGCCATATGGATGAACTGCATCAGTGAAACTACTTCCTACCTTCCAGTTCGTACAGATAGATTTTGGCCCAAAAATCTCAGTAAGTAAGTAGGTCCATGGTCCCAAATGCAAGTAGCCGCCCAAGCTTCTGCAGATTTTGCAAGATTTTCATCCCAAACCTGTAGGGGTAAAACACCTTCAGCTTTACTGGATTTGCTTGTAAGAAACAGACAGAAAGAGGAAAGAAATGGTGCTATTTCCTAGATTTATTTTAAGTCTAGTTCCTGAGTCTATATTAACTAAAAAAAGCAATTCAAGCCATTATTATCCAAAGTTCTATAAATGTTTCCCTTTGAGGACCTATAATATGGTTATACCACAAAAAAATATATTGTATTTGCAGTGTCATCTAAATTCCACACTTAGAAATCAGTTTAAGTAAAGAAAAGGTTAACAAACATAACGTAACTAGTTGTAACATGGGGACATCTACTGACCACTGAAATTTGAACCCAGCAATGTCCATTGGCTTTCCTAGAGGTCACTTTCATAGTAACAAGGAGTCATGCTATTAATATATTTTAAAAACAAATATAATTGAATTTATTCAAATTGATTTACCAGAATTAACAATGTCCAATAGTATATTGTAACTTTTAAAAGTCTAACTCTATTAACATATAAAAATCCCATAGAGTCTTCATATATAATACCATTTGAATCTTTAGTAGTAATAATACTATAGGAATTTACTCTTTAGTTGGTATGAACTGGAAAGTATGATAAAAAATAAAGACAATGTTACATAGCATGTTATAAAAATATAGTACATCATATATCAAGTAAATGAATTTTTAAAATAGTAGCTGTTTTCTTTTAAAAAGGAAGTTAAGTTGATAAGGGTGCTATTGATGTGTAGTAAATTTTATTTAGTGAAAAAAATAGTAAGGCACAATCTGGATGAATCTTGGATTTAATATATATTCATATTAGTTGCCATACGGATTGACATGCTCATGTCCATAGCTACATGAAGAAATAAGCCACATATTTGTGGACCTGCCAATCATAAATTAACTTTGAAATGGTAATCTATTTTCTAGCAAGTAATAATGTATGGAAACATAAGCTAGAGAATATATATAATTCTTATATGAAAATATAGAAAAGACATTTTTCAAAATTTCTCCCTAATGGAAATATAATTTAGTTATGTATTTATCTGTTTTAAAGAATTTTTTATTGAGTTTTAATGTCATATATTGACAATAGTGATATGACATTTTATTAACTATGTCATGATATATTACATTGTATATGATATATAATGACATAGTTTAATGTCATATCTCTATTTCCTAAATTATTTATAATTGTATATTATCCTATCTGAAAAATTGTGTTTGGATTACTACTAGAGAGTGATTATATTATATTTTAGAAAGTGACACCTTATGTGAAGAGGGAAGTGACAATTTTATAATTACCCAAATTTACATAGAGCTTCAGATGAGATGTTCTACTCATATATAGATGTCCTTCTCATCTTTGGTTTCCTACTTTTCATAGTTTTCTTCATTTTATCGTTCTTTTGGTGATTTTCTCCTCCATCAGGTTGTGTGCAGCTAAGCGATAGTCATATGTTCACTGTAAGTTATAAGCTTTCAAGCAAACTCAAAGGACTGCTTAGCCGTAATACTTAAAAGGCTTAACTTTCTCCAAAGATAGTGAGTTGCATAGATTAATTTAATATAACAATGCTTTTATGTGAAAGAAAATTAATTTAGTGATCTTGAAATAAAGTTTTAAAAAAGCAAAACAGTAGATAAATTCTTCAAGAGGTAAACTCAGGAGGCCATAGCAGCTATCCTGTTTTTTTGTGTGTGTGTTGTTGTTGTTTTGTTTTGTTTAAATTTTTGATTGATATATAATAGATATACATATTTTCAGGGATCATGATAATTTAATACATTTATATAATTTGCAAAGATTAAATTAGTGTAATTAGGATATCCATTACCTTAAATTATTATCTTTTTTCTATGCTAGAAACGTGAATTATTTTTCTCTAGGTAGTTTAAAGTATACAATAGATTATTTAAACTATAGTCATTCTACTGATCTATTGAACACTAGTACTTATTTCTTCTATCAAACTCTATATTTGTTCCCACTAATCAACTTATCTTCATATCGCTTCTATAGTTATTAAAAGTTATCATCACTTGTTATTTTCAAGCTCCAAAGACTGTATCATATTAATAAATTTACAAACCATTAAAGATTAAGGGACTAAATCACATCTTTCCCTGGGAGTTGTAACCAATGAAGACAGAGACAGCAAAGCAGATTTCACCTTAACAGAGGATACAATGTAATTTCCAAATTTCAGAGCTCCCTACTCAAGTCAGCCCTGTTCCTCTTTATAGAGGGGTTGTATGTTCTACCTGGAGACAAAAAGGAAAGAAAGAACACAGGGCCTTCTGAGTTCCCTTTCATGGGCATTAGAGGGACAGCAACCTATGCTTGTGGTGGCCATATCACCCCAAGTGTTTTTCTTTCATTCCTTTCCATTAAGAATCATTTAGTTGGTCAGGCCATAATTGATTGATTTAGTTTGGGAATAAAACATTTACCATTAGGTTTTCTGTTTATAAATAAAGTCAGAGGGCAACCCCTTCAGGTCCCCTCCCACTGTGGGAGCTTTTCTGTCCTCTCAATAAATCCTGCTTTCTCACTTTCTGGAAAAATAAAATAAAGTCAGAGATAGCTTGAGTTAGACAGACTATCTTGTCTGTTTTTTTTTTTAATACATATTTTTTATTTTAAAAATTGTGGGGTACAGTTAAGGGTTAGGTGTAGAAATATGCATTGTGCAGGTACCCTTGTTGATGTGTTAAACACAAGAGGTTGTAACCACATAGACTAACACAGGAGAGATATCGAGAATTCATATTGCTGTTATTTAAATATCTAAAAGTGTTGTTGGTGCCAAAAGATAAAAGAAATATGAAAAGAATGCAGGATTCTCAACAAGTTCAGAGATATATAGAACTTGAACTGAAGAAATACAAAATCAAGTCGAAGAATGCTGCTGCACGGATGAAGGTTGCTGGCTTTCTTAAGTAGGCAGAATTTGATGACATGAATCCAACCCAGATATGAAGTTGCCTTATCAACTGTTCCCCTAAGTTTTGGGATCCACAACACAGCAGCAGCCAGGATCATGAAACACACTGGCATCTGCAGCTTCCTTCTTAGATCCTGGCCAGTATCTCTGGTCAATAAAAAATGCAATAGAAACGAGAGACAACCTAAAAATTACTTGGGAGTATACCGGTAAACTTGTTGGATGAGGCAATTTTTTCCCCCTTAAGTAAGGTCTTTTAACTCCAAAGATAAAAATTAAGTGTAAAAGTGTTTTAAAAGATCATATGTAAGTTAGAAAGGACAAATATTTTGGGGTAAGGAATCTGTACTTATTTGATATTAATATTTGTAAAGGTTAAGAAAATGTGACCAATTACAGTAATGTTAGTATTATTTATAAATATAAAAAATATGTAATTACCTGAATTTATGATTTTAAGTTGAAAACAATAAAATCTGTTAAATTTTTTAAACAGTATTACAAAACTTAAGAGAATTTAAGAATTACTGTATAACTTAGAATTATATGACTTGTTTAAATATATGGAAAGTATTATCAATAGATCAAATGAAATACTAATAAAATCAAAAATTAAATCTATAAATGCAATTTAAAAAATTTAATTTGCAAGTGTTAATGAACATTAAGTAAATATGATTGTCAAAATCTGTTATATTTATGAAAAGAACAAAAATATTCTTAAATTGAAGCTAAAAATTTTAAGAAAGAATATTAATTTTGAAAATTAAAGTGATCTTTGAAAAATCTATCCTGTATAGGAAAATCATCTTCTCAGACATAAAATGCCAAAAATAAAGATATCCCACTTTGATTTTGGGAAACAGAATTATAAATTAGTTATTTTCATGATGCTATGATAGCAATGGCATTAGAGACAGTATGATACGACCCAGAGACATTTATTTTCTTGGGCATTCATGCGGTCATTCTCATATATTAGACAAAAAGAAAAGGCACTTTATTTATTTATTTATTTATTATCTTTTAAGGCATTTTGTATAGACAAGTTTTTGTTTTACAAATAATTTAGCTAGGGCTATTTCATCTTTTCCTTAGATTGGGAAAAGAGTGCTGATTTACAGAAGTGAGAAACAGCCATTAAAAAAAAATTTAAGTGATGCCAAAATCATTTCCCCTGAGGGCAGCCAAAAGCTTTAAAACACTTCATAGGCATGATTGCGGTTCTGATTTAAAATTGCTGGGTTTATCCTCATTAGGTAGAAATGCCTGTGAAATGGCCAATAAAGGAAACTGAGAGCTAAATATTCAAGAATCTGTGTTAAACCAAAGAAGAGGGCAACACTGAAGCTTGGATAGGCCACGAGAAAGAAGTCTGGTGATAGAGAAAGAAGAAGGACTTTCCTAGAAGAATTTTGGGGCAGTGAGTATATTAATTAAATGATATTAAAATCATTCTACTTTGTAAGAGCAGAAGGAGAGGACTAAAGGAACTTGTTTAAAATACACACACATTCCCTCCAGCTTCAAACATAATTACAAAATATGGGACTAAATTATGTGTATCAAAAAATATAAAAAGTGAGATACTAAGGATATTTTAAATGTTTAAAAGGAGATACTGAAAACTTTCCTTAAATGAGATGAGTACTATCTTTCATGTAGGTTTCTTTACCTATGAAGAGATGATGTAAGGTGTACTATTTTTAGGGGCTCTAAATGGAATCATTGCCAGCAGAATAAATATTGTAAAAGCAAACACATTTTTAAAAGCCCTCTCAGCCAGGCTCGGTGGCTCAGCCTGTAATCCCGCGCCTTTGGGAGGCTGAGGTGAGTGGATTGCCTGAGCCCGTGGGTTTGACACCCGCCTGGGCAGCGAGACCTCATCTCTACAATAAATCAAAAAATCAGCCGGGAGTGGTAGCGCATGCCTGTAATTCCAGCTACTTGGAAGGCTGAGGTGGAAGGATCGCTGCCCAGCAGGTCGAGGCTGCCACTGCACTCCAGTCTGGACGACAGAGTGAGACTCCAACTCAAAAAATAAATAAA